CTAAATATTTTACGAGATGTTTTATTTTTTATATCAAAATATGTCAGATTAAAATATAAAATAACTCAAAAAGTATTTAATGAAAAAATACTTTATTATAGTGTTTTGGAAAGCTCTCGAGGTAAGCTACAAGAATATGTAATAAAAAATGGGGAGTTTCATTTAAGAAAACATCGACCACATTGACCTCACCTTGAAAAGACCACTTAAGGTCAAATCCATATTTTTATCATGTGGCTCCCTCGAAACCATGCAACTTTTGTCTGAAACATTTTTTGATATCTCACTTCGTTACCGAAAAATATGCCCGCGTCACTATAAATGCCGCACCCTGTATATCAAATTAATTTTCTAATTTTAAAATGTTCCAAAATATGTATATATGCGTTTATCAGTTTACATTCATAATAAAAAGAGAATTTTATTATCATAATAAAGCAATTAGTATACTATTGTATTTGTAACTTTGGAGAATAACTGCATTTAATTGCAACCATCATCAAAATTACATTTGAATTATAATGTTACAAAAATCTATGCTCTATCCAGTTTTTAGAAGAAAAAATATTAACCTATTAACCTATTCAGATTTTCTTTTTAAACTTTTTAAATCATGTTAGATTGTTGCATCAATATATGTCGAATAAATATACTGTAAGTATTTGTAATTATATCATGTATTAAGGAAAATAAAGTAAAATATTAGAAAAACTTTTTAATCTTTCATAATATCATGAACAATTTTGTATCAGTATCAGAAGAAAAATTTGTTTACAATATATATGTATTTAAAATATATGATTTAAAAAATTGTAAAATAAGATAAGACATGTGAAACTATTTACAAAGTGTAGGAAATATTATTTTTTCTGATCATATATATGTAAGTATACCAACTTCAATATGTTGATAACTGCTTATCTACGTACATGGAATTGAATTAGGCTAATCTATATATAATACTCATAGGGCAATGGTAAATTTAATAACAAAAATATTTGCATTACAACTAATTAATACAAATTTATACTTTTCTGAAATAATGAAACAACAGAACTTCTGACAAGAATCCAAAAGTTCAATTTTGAATTTATCTTAATTAAGCCCTAAAATTGTCAATATATGAAAATTCCGAAAATAAACCATTGTCAATGTATATTCACATTATTTGTAACAACCTATGTATTTTAATTTGTTTCCATTATTGAAAACATAATCTAATTCAGCCATTGAGAAATGTATCAATTCAGATTATTTTATACAAATATTCATATGTGAGAAAATCACATAAGCATATGTCTTCTACCTTTAATACGGTTTACCAAATTACAAATCTTAAGTGCTGGCCCAAGTTTTAGCCCCATATACTTCATCATCATATCACTATTAAGAAGAAGTAAAGCTTTGCCATCAATTTCCTAAAAATTATCATTAATTTTACAATAAGTCATTTAATAAATAAGACATCATAATACTTTTTTGTATTTAACTCACGTGTTTCCTAAACAAATCTGCGTGTTGTCCTAGTGCTGGATCTGTAATGGCAATATAATGTATTACATCTTCAATGGTCCATTCTGCTGGTTCAGTGGAAGGAATGCGATTTGCAGAAGATTCAGATTGAGTAGTAGATGTTGCTGCTTCAAGTTCTAAATATAAATATATTTTTTAATCACTATGTGTTCTATTTTACAAAAATTAATGTCAATTAATTTCATATTAAAACTCTCCAGATAATCTTTCCTATATATATTATTTTAAATATTTATATATTTTAAGATATTGAGGATTATGTATAATAATAATAATATAGATATGTATAGATCTACACCAACGCGCGTGCGCGCGCACATGCACATACATACACGCGCACGTACACACGCACCATGCACACACGTACGCACGCGCGTCCGCACACCCATCATATATATGTATATACCAGGTGATTCAGACCACCCGTGTTAGCAGTTTTTCTCTAAAATGTAACGTTACAGAGTCACAGAAAGTTACGAAAACAATTCTCATTACTAATGGGCACCCAAAGTAATCATCATTGGTGATGATTCCATTTTTCGGGACAAATCGGAAGTAGGTGTTACTGCAGTCAATTTTGAAATCTGAAACATGGAACATAGGTCGAGTGGAATATCATTGGATAGAGTTTTGAGAGGGAGGGAGAGAGTGGGAGAGGGGGAGAGAGGGAGAAAGAGAGAGAGAGATAATTTACTACAACTTCATTCAATTGTCTCTTACATCTTCTCTTCGAGAAAAACGTTTGAATGTGTGCATGCCTGCAATAATTTACAAATGCTCGAAGTGTTTACCATCTTGATGCATACATTGCTGTACGATGCAGCCGTTTTTAATACTGTCAGTAGCTCGAAGGACTTCCCGGATGGAACAAAAGAATATTTAAGTGTTCTGATACTTAATATTAAAAATGTCCCCACTTTCAAATCTCTAACTATCGCGATTTCGAAAGTTATCTATATCCGTCGAAGCCAGCAGTCGTCTCGATATCATTATTAAATAAAGTTCGATAAACACAATTCGCGCAGTCCAATGCGTTAAAGGCTATTCATTAAACAATGTCAGAACACTTTTAAGTATTCTTTTGTTTTGTTCCATCAGAAAGTCCTATGAGCTAACTGACGGTGTTAAAATACGGTTGAATGTGTGCATCAAGGTGGCAGGCATATCGAGCACTTGTAAATGATTGCAAACATCCACACATTCAAACGTTTTTCTAGAAATCTGTAAGAGATAATTGAATTATGTGTTAGTAAAAGATGTTTTTTTTTCATAGCTCTATCCAATGATCCCCCTTCGAGCCATGTTCTTATTTGAAATTTCAACATTAACCCAAGTTGCATCTAATTCCGGATTGTCTCAAAAAATGAAACCATCACCAATGATCACTGTGGATGCTTATTTAGGAAAATTTTTACGAATACAACGATGTATGATACAATGTAAATATTTTACATATTATATGAGTTTTATCGACTTGAAATATCGCGGGCGACGTCTACTTTTTCACTTTCTGCCCTGCGTTATGGCCAACTTCTGATACGCACGCGCGTCCGCACACCCATCATATATATGTATATACCAGGTGATTCAGACCACCCGTGTTAGCAGTTTTTCTCTAAAATGTAACGTTACAGAGTCACAGAAAGTTACGAAAACAATTCTCATTACTAATGGGCACCCAAAGTAATCATCATTGGTGATGATTCCATTTTTCGGGACAAATCGGAAGTAGGTGTTACTGCAGTCAATTTTGAAATCTGAAACATGGAACATAGGTCGAGTGGAATATCATTGGATAGAGTTTTGAGAGGGAGGGAGAGAGTGGGAGAGGGGGAGAGAGGGAGAAAGAGAGAGAGAGATAATTTACTACAACTTCATTCAATTGTCTCTTACATCTTCTCTTCGAGAAAAACGTTTGAATGTGTGCATGCCTGCAATAATTTACAAATGCTCGAAGTGTTTACCATCTTGATGCATACATTGCTGTACGATGCAGCCGTTTTTAATACTGTCAGTAGCTCGAAGGACTTCCCGGATGGAACAAAAGAATATTTAAGTGTTCTGATACTTAATATTAAAAATGTCCCCACTTTCAAATCTCTAACTATCGCGATTTCGAAAGTTATCTATATCCGTCGAAGCCAGCAGTCGTCTCGATATCATTATTAAATAAAGTTCGATAAACACAATTCGCGCAGTCCAATGCGTTAAAGGCTATTCATTAAACAATGTCAGAACACTTTTAAGTATTCTTTTGTTTTGTTCCATCAGAAAGTCCTATGAGCTAACTGACGGTGTTAAAATACGGTTGAATGTGTGCATCAAGGTGGCAGGCATATCGAGCACTTGTAAATGATTGCAAACATCCACACATTCAAACGTTTTTCTAGAAATCTGTAAGAGATAATTGAATTATGTGTTAGTAAAAGATGTTTTTTTTTCATAGCTCTATCCAATGATCCCCCTTCGAGCCATGTTCTTATTTGAAATTTCAACATTAACCCAAGTTGCATCTAATTCCGGATTGTCTCAAAAAATGAAACCATCACCAATGATCACTGTGGATGCTTATTTAGGAAAATTTTTACGAATACAACGATGTATGATACAATGTAAATATTTTACATATTATATGAGTTTTATCGACTTGAAATATCGCGGGCGACGTCTACTTTTTCACTTTCTGCCCTGCGTTATGGCCAACTTCTGACTCGTGCATTAGATATTGACATATGTCATGTTTTCATTTAATCATAATATTCAATCCGAAGTTGTATTCGTTTCAAACAGTGCTACAACTTTTATCATATCGAAATATTCACATTAATATAAAAAAATTATGGATACCTCTTCGTTCGTTAACAGATAGTTTTTGAAAGCAACTATTATGCTCACAATAGAGTTCAATTTGAACCATTTAATTTGATATATATTTGTTATGGTCTATCTCTTTTAGTTTAAAAGATAAAAGGGAGTGACCACTTTTGGTAGGACACCTTGTATACATATATATATATATATGTAAGGGTGATTCAGAAATACACCGACAAACTTTCAGAGATAGTCGGGGGCACCAAAAGAATCATTTTTTGCAAATGGACCTAGGGTCGGAAACGTGTCGTTACATCGCTACGGCAGACAGAGTGTTCGAAAAAGGTCGGAAATATCTCGAAATATCTCAAAAAATATAAGTTTGATAAAAAACTGTTTTAAACAAAAAGTTGTAGGGTGTAAAAAGATCTATTTACTGACCTTATGAGTTTGAGTTGGGTGGCGTCGCTAAGGTCAGGCCGAGAGGTTGCCTTCATTGGCTGAATCAGCCACCGATCTTGCCTAAGGTAATCTCG